CAATCCGGATAGGTAACATACCTGTCATTTTGTGACCGACGGGCCGGTACGGCGGTAAGGGGCTGGAATCTATTGAGCCCAAAAGCAATCAATCACCGCGACCAACACCACCCGTTACCGGCCGTCTGCAAGAGGTGCTTGCGATTCCGGAAAAGCAAGCAATGCTGGATGGGTGCTGATGCTGTTGCTTTTCCTGATCATCGCGACCGCCATCGCACGCTAGCCTCTTGGAGACATATCGCCCTCGCACATCGCAATTCTCTCTCACCATCTCCATCTCCATCCCCATCCCACGTCTCCCGACTCCCTCCCGCGGGCGAGCGGTGAGGCGGCGGATGTGGCTCTCTGCTCCCGCCGCCCGCGCCAGCACCGTTGGGCGCAGATGAGGCCGAGGCCGAGGGTGGGGAGGAGGTGTGGACTCTTGGGGGTGGGTTGGCGGTGTTCGGGGGACGACCCGGGGAAGGGGGCAGAGGGCAGGGCTCCCTGGCCCCCCGGCGAGGCGGCGAATGGGGCCGGAAGCCCTCCCCCAAGTCCCGCGTTTGCGTCCATTTCCTTCTGTTACGCGGACCCTGTCAGTGCCCGTCACCCCCAGACCCCCCAAGACCAGCAGAACTCTCTCCAGACCCGTCATTTCGGCGACGGCGCGGCCAGAAAAACCCGCGTCGCTGGTCCAGGCGGGGGAAGTCCCAGTCTGTCCCAGAGCGCGAGGGAAATTGCAGACCCAGAAAGTTGGTCGTGCCCTGCTCCGGCAGAAATGGACGGGCGATGGGTGCCCAGGAGCCCAGCAAGCAGGAAGAGCGAAGTTCGCCCGGCGGTGGATACGTCATGGAGGTTGTTGCGAGGCCAACGCCGACGATGCCCAATCAAGGCCAACGGGGTCGGGTGCAATAAGGGCGCACGCTGGCACTGGCGGGTGTTGGTTTGCAAAGGGGCGGTCAGGACGAAGGGCGACACCGCAACTCGCGGAACAGCAAGCGAAGCGCGAGTCGAGTCAAGGCCCTCCAGACCGTGTTTGTCCATGCGTTGGGGCGACGGCGACACCCAATCGACTCGCGCGATTTTCGAAAAACGGGAGGTGTCAGTGCCCACGGCTGCGGTTGGGCACTGCTCGACCCCCCCTTCCACCTTCCGTCCACCGACCCTCCTCCGACCGTCCAGTGTCCACCGTCCACCGTATCTCCTTGACTTGGAAGTTGTGGCACGATTGTACCTCCCCTGCCTCGCCCCACAGTACATCTTACAATAATCAACGTTACCAATTTCCAGCCAACGCGCTCCCTACAACAAAAGTCATAATATTTAGCCCAGCACCAGTAGGTAATCACAAACCCAAAAAATACGTAGAAAATACTAGAACAGTCTCCATCTCTTACCCTATCCACTAGTATTTTTCAAACAATTTTAGGTTATACGGTTATCGATTGACGAGGGGATGTAGTATGTTCGATGTCGCATGACTTGGGAGCGCGGTGACGAGAAGTACCGATAAGATGGCTTGGCAGTTTCGCGCGATCCGATAGGCCCGATTTTAATCAGTACAATCGTGCCACAACTTCCAAGTCAAGGAGATGGCCGCCCGGCCTGTGTTCCGGAGCCCTGATTGCAGGGCACCTGGCCCCTGTAACCTCTGGCATTTCTTTTCCAGAACCCCCCGAGGCCCCCGAGCCCCCCAGTTTCCCCTTTCGTCCTAGCCCGTCCTGGATTTAATCTGCCCCACGGCACCCTGTTTCCTGGGACGGGCACCCTTGACACGCGCCGCCTCCCGCCTTACCCACCCCCCCCTTCCCCCTTGTTCCCCATGCCCACACCCATGCCCACACTCGCTCCCACTCCCACACCCCCCATCCCCATCCCGTTGTTGCCCATCCGAGTCACCAGGCATATAAGTGCTGCCTTCCCACCCCGTGAGAACTTCTCCGCCTCTTTTGGTCAACTTGCCAACGATATCCACCACTGATCCCCCGAGGACATATCATATTCGGCTCACCATCACCATTCGATACCTGATCAACAACATTGCAAACATCACCACCTCGACGACTTGCACACAACCACTCCACCACCACACCTCCACACCACAACCGAAAATGTTCGGTTCCTACAGCAGCAGCAGCTCATCGAGCTCATCCTACACCTCGGGGTCGCCCTTCAACTCGTACTCGTCCTTCAGCAAGCCCATGGACATTGCGCCGACCCCGTTCTCGACCCACGGACCCGATGCCAGCTGCGCGTTCCCCTCGTGGCCACGACGGGCCAACCTCGACTACGACGTGGCCGAGGAGCGTGCTTCTTCCTATCTCTCGGACGAGGACCTGTTTCTGGACTTTGAGGACGACTCGCACAGTGTTTCCAGCAACAGCAGCAACGGCTCGCCCGTCGTCTCCCCACCCACGGCCCAGCTCCTCAACCAGGCCGACTTGCTCGAGCAGCAGCGCGAGCGCGCCAACTACCAGCGCGAGATGATGCGGGTGCTCATGCTCGAGAAGGAGCGCCTCCGGCAACAAAAGTCGGCCGGGCGGCGGCGCCGCAGCAGCGGTGGCTCTTCGTCGACGTCGGCCAAGAAGGCGTCCAAGAGCTCCAAGCTCAACGCCATGACTCCCATCGCCGAAGCCGAGTGAACGGCACGCCAGCAAACCAGCTTACCAAACAACTTCCCTTCGCCTCAAGGTGGCTGTGTGGCTGGTACCACCAGAACAACCACTTCTAATCGGTACGTTCTGGCTGACACGGGGGCGTTGCACTGGGCTGCACTGCGATTTTTCGCATCGGCAGCGCATCCAAAGATATCGATCGCTAACGCGGCTTACAGACTTCTCCCTCTTACCCGACCCTATTAATTCACCCCGATGGCCACCTGAGTCATACGGGCAACACCACCACCACCGCCGCCACGACGCCCACCCGAGACAGGAGGACGACGAAATACGAATTCCAAACCCCAATCTCCCGCCTGTCTTGGAACCATCAAACCGGACGCACCCATCCGTCCCCAAAGTCCACGATCGCACAAACGCGGGTTTGAGTTTTTTCCCCTCGTCCTTGGTCCTCAATTTCGCTGCACCGGTCCGGACGGGAACCCTCCCGAGCCGACGCAGGCAGCCCCCAAGTACCCATCCGCCTGCACCACAGCCCAAAGGTACCTCGCTGGGGGTGCCACCGCCCCAAAGTGCCGACTCGCCCTCCCATTGGCCGCATCAACCGACGCATTGCCGAGGCAGGGCCGCTCCCGATCCGAAGTGCGGAGGATCGCCTGCCTCGCGAAGCAACAACAACCCGCACCCACGCCAACCCACCCACACACACCACATTCTCCCAATGGGATTTCAAGGCCGCCGCTTCCGCGAATATCACAACGAGGCGGTCTAGCCCTCTCTCTCCGCACACGGGGAAGAGCGGTCAACGACATCGTCTCCATCGCATCGGCATTTCACCATCCCGCACTTCCATCTCCGCCGGAGCGGGTTCTCCCTTTCCCTATCTCTCCGTCTTGGAGCCTGCATTTTTCTCCCTCTCCGCGCGCACCCGATAATTCTTATTACTTCCTGTACTTGTGGTCGCGGCATGACTTGGCGACGTCACCGGGCCCAACCCTCTTCTGTCGGGTGGACGGTGACTCACATGGAGACCCCCACCCACCACCTCCTCACCCACCTGTTGGGCATCTGAGGCCTGGTGTTTTGTTTTTCTCATTCATCGTGTGTGTCCTGCATGGCCCGGTTGGCTTTTTCTGGGTTTGGGTTCTCGGTCGGTTGGGAAAAAACTTTCATCGTCATCATCATCATCGGGTCATCGGGGCGAGAAGAACATACAGTGCACACTCACACACATCATCATAGTCATTAGCATAGGAGTTTTCTCTCTGTTTTTGGGTTTGCTTTGGAGAAGAAAGAGGAGGATACCCCCAGACCCGAGAGTTGGTCTATTGGAATTTTGGATTTGGCTTCGAGGCAATGATACCCCCCCGATTTAGCATAGCGATGATTTTATTTCAAGTTTTTAGTTTAGTGTCGGGTTGACGGCTACAAGGCCCTGTCCCCCTGGGAAGAATTAATATTTGGTGTGCTTGAATACTCTACTGGTCGCTCGCATCGTGTCTTGTGAATGTGAATGTGATATTTCCCCGCGCTCTCCGCCCTTGCCTTATTGACAGGGCTCGGGGAGGGGTGTGGGCTATTTGGTGTGAGCTTGTGATAGTGATATCTGCCCTGGTCTTGTGTGGTTGGTTGAAAATCATCCAGTCGGAGAACAGTTTGTGATGGCCGTGGTGGTTGGCTGGCGGCGCGCTTGCGATGGACTGGTGGTTGAGAGGGGCTGGTTGAAGAAATGGGGTAAATAAACATGGCAAATACTCGCTCTTGTTTGCTGCCCCCCTGGCTGGGGTATCGGTAGTCTCTTGAGATTCAGCCTGTACCGTAGCCCATCACCAAATGTCAATATTGACATCCGTCACTCCTCCGCCCATTGACCCCAACCATCCAGTCTGTCCAGGGTCCATCACAACCAAGCAGTAGGTATCTTGCTGAGTGCCGACAGTGACGACCTGCCCCATCCACCCATCAGTCCGAACCCAACCTACCTCATTACCGAGCTCTCCATTTCTCCCCAACCCCGATCAATGCCGTGGTGTTGTTTTGTCGCCCCTCCCCCACATCTCCGCCGATTCCACACCCTCCTCCCTACCCAACCGCCGCGCCAGCCCAACTGCCGCCCGTCCCCCTCCCCATCACCAGACCCTTCCCGCCTTGCCTCTCTGTCTCCGTTCGTCCTCAACCCCCGGATCCCTTGTCATCACACACAACCCAACGGCACGCCCCGCCTCCGGACCGGACCCCTACCCACCCGCCCGCATCGATCGATGGCGCGGGGAGGAATCCCTGCCGTACCTAACCCAGGATATCCCCAGGCCTCCTATCCACTTCACGACTCGGCGGCGTGCCGCCGCACCAGACCCCGACCAGGCATAGGGTGCAAAAACTGAACATGGGATACGAATACAGCGAGGGCGTGTAGCTCAGCGGCTAGAGCGACCGGCTCTGTCCGGAAAGGTCCTGGATTCGAGTTCCAGCATGTCCAGATTTTCTGAACTCAACCCGTGCCTGGGTTGGGTTAGAAGCGTCAGTGGTTTAGTGGTAAAATCCATCGTTGCCATCTCTTGTTCTTTGGAATGATAGGGTCAACTTCGATGGGCCCCGCGTTCGATTCGCGGCTGACGCATGACTATCTTTTTGGCCGGGGGCTTGGATTTTGGGTTTCCCTTTTCAAGAAGTCGATATGAAGGGGGGTGCGTTACCTTTTTGCTTTGTGTGTCCTTCGGCGCCGGAGGCGCTGGATATATGCAAGTGGATATCCGCGCCCCCGTCATTGCCTTTTTGCTTTGTGTTGGGCGGGATGGTGGTATGGGGTGTAAGTAAAGGGGGGTGTTGATGTTTTTCTCAGATGAGGAGGGGACCGGTGGAGAGCGAGGATGGGTTGTAGTAGATTCTCGAGACTGACGAACGTGAGTTGATGGCGAGGATTGAAGATAGCTTGGGGTCCATGTGGAATTTGTAGGCTTTATCGGGCCCGGTTCGGCTTCGCTGGGCTGTCGGACTGTCGTCGGTGTAGGGGATGGTAGAAATATGTTCTCCTGGGGGTAATCCTCTTGTGTAAGAGACGGACAGAGATCACTGCCGAGATGTTGTAACTAGTGATATGTCCCCCATATGCCAGAGCATGTCGATCTTATACAGCCGATGGTAACAGATACTAGAGTATGTCAGTAACGGACGAGGACATGGCATTGAGTTCTTGCCTCTCCCGGGTTGACATACCTGTTCGATGCGAGGGCATGTATCGCTGTGCGCCTGTGTTGCTGTAGCTGCTGTGAATCCTGCCGGCTCTTGATATGACATTCCATGGATCGCGTCCTGGTAGAGGAAGCGGGACTTGTAAGACCCAAAGTCATGACTTTAATGCAGCGTCTATCACTGAACCCAGCGTATGTATCAATACCAAACAGCAACAATCGTGCCTGTCCGCATTCCCTATAACCCAAGTAAGAGAGACCCCAAGACAATATTGACGCCCCAACTCCTGTTCACCCAAAAGACCAACTTTGCCCAGCTCCAGCTGCAGCACAGACACCACCCACTCCTCAGCTCCTCAACGCCTCCAACCGATTCCGTATCTGATCCATCATAGCCTCTGTATCCTCCTCTTCCTCTTCCTCCACCGCCTCCTCCTTCTTTTGCGGCTGCGTTGGCACGCTCGGCATCACCTGCCCCGCCTTCTCCATCTTGTCCTTGAGAATCTCTCCCAGCACCTTATCCACCTCTCCCTCGGCCTCCTCCTCCTCCTCCCACTCGCCCTCGCCATCCACCGGCAGCACCTCCCCGACCATCTCCTCGATGACGCCCGCTTTCATCAGCTCGACGCTCAGGTCGCGCATCGTCATGGCCAGGCCCGGCAGGCTCACGAGGTTGTTGAGGTCCTTCATGACGCCCACGCTCGCCTTGATGCTCCCCTCGATCTTGCGCAGCGCAAACGCCTCGTTGACCTGCATCTGCACGCTGCCGAGCTGGGCCTTGGCCGTGACGAGGCGCTGGCCCTCGCGGCGCGTGCGCAGCATCAGGCGCGCAAAGTCGCGCACCTCCTTCTGGGCCTGCTTCTGCTGCGACGGCACGCGCTGGCCGCGCCGGTCGGCCGCGAGGATGAGGTTCTTGGTCTTGAGCTCCGTCTGCTTGAGCGCGGCGATGTCGCGGTCGAGCTTGCGCATGTTGGTGCGGAGGAGGGAGTTGCATTTTCGCATCTGGGAGGGACGAGAGGGTTAGCTGGGGGGGGTGGGGGAGGGGGCAAAGGGGGGGAGGGCGGACTTGGGCGTTGGGATCTGGCTTGGCCCAGAGGGATCTGAGGGCCTCCATGGTGAGCGAGGGGAGGCGACGACGCCCGGTTCCGTGGAGAGGGGATTGTCGCTGTCTCGGGGTCTTGTTGTTCACAGGAGAGGTTGACGAGGTTGTTGTTTTGGCAATGGCGGACGGATGGACGCTGACGTCGTCGGCGACGGTGCCGAGGGTTGCGATGCAGGTGGGCTTGTTGGTTGTCTTAGTGAGGCGGAGACGCCAAGGGATTGGACCTGCAATGGCGCCGGCTGGCAACGGGCATGCCGGGCCCGCCGTGAGTGCCCCGCCATTTTATGCGGGGCATGGAAGTTGGAAGCTTTTTGGTTACGACAACCACAGCCTCGACGTCCAGACTGAAGCTTGTTGCCTATTCCAAATTACAGCAAGGCTTTGGATGCAGGCAGGTAACCTCACTGGATAGAGAGTGTATCAATTTCAGTCTTTCACATCGATTTGAAGATGGCACACCGCCAACTGCCAGCACTGTTTGTAGAAGGCTTGATTTGTCACAACGGGATGGATGTCCCAGAGACGTGCCGGTCCAAAACTCTGTTTGCTGATCTCGGCCCGTGTCTGCGAGACGGATGGTGCTTCTCCTGCCGAACCAGGGCGAGTGATGGGACTTGTGGCATAGCCTCGAGTTCTTTTATGCAGGGGCTGGCAGTAATGGTACTGGAAGTCTGTCTGTTCCAAGTTCCAACAATGCATTATCTAGGACATAGACGAGAGGTAGACTGACAAAGGGCTGGATTTGTTGCCATACTGTAAACATCCTGTCTCATGGACTCAAACGTCATACCATCCATCCAATGGACAGGCAAACGGGCATCTGACTGAGCCATGCCTTCTGGTTGCCTCTCGAAATAGCTGCCGCGCAATGGAGGGAAGCCCAATCCAAGTCCGTTGCAGCCTGGCCTGGCCCACCCGGCCCCCATCAGCCCTGCCTGTGGCCTGTGCACTCCAAATCTTCAGGCTTCTGACGAATTCCACCACGACCCCTGGACGTGCGGCTCCAGACTGGAGTGGACTGCCTGACAGCGACAAGCTGTACTGCTCGCCCTGCTCAAGAGCAATCATTCCAACACCCACCCCGCGCGAAGCCTCTTCCCCAACAACACAAGACCCGACACCTCCAATCGCTGCACCAGGTACGACCACGTCCAAAAGACTCCACCGCCAAATATTCTTCCCTTCATCTTGCGCGGCACCACCACATCCCCCCCTTCCAACAACTTCTTCTCTACTAACCATCGCCATCTTTCAAGCTACCCCTCCCCCGCACCCAAGGCTCGTATTCACCAGCCAACACCAACTCTTCAACACAATCCACACACAATGGCCGCCACTGTAACACCCGAAGGTTAGTAGTGCATTTCATGATCTCAGTCATGATCCTCGGGCCTTGCGACCCATCGTCTGCCCTCTGCTAACGCCCACCTCCCCGCAGTCCTCTGGGCGCAGCGCTCGTCCAAGGTCGACCCCGAGAAGAACTTCATCTACCTGACCATCAACGTGGCCGACGTGTCCCCGGCGAGCCTCAAGCTCGACCTCAAGCCCACCGGCCTCACCTTCACGGGCACCTCGGAGACTCTGAAGCGCACATACCACCTCGAGCTCGAGTTCTTCGCCGAGATCGACCCCACCGAGAGCAAGATTCACCACACAGCCCGCGATGTCGAGATCAAGCTGCGCAAGAAGGAGCTCGACGATGCCTACTGGCCCCGCCTGCTGAAGGAGGCCAAGAAGGTGCACTTCCTCAAGACCAACTTTGACAAGTGGGTCGACGAGGACGAGCAGAACGAGGCTCCCGAGGAGGACTTTTCCCAGTTTGGCGGCATGGGTAAGTAACACCTCTCTCCCCCGGAAGTCACCATTGCTGACAGTCCACGCAGGAGGTATGCCTGGCATGGGCGGCGCCGGCGGCATGGGTACGTGAACAAGAAACCGAAAACGGGCCTCCGACAAAGGCCTTTGCACCAGTGGGCGTATAGCTGACTTGACGTGTAGGTGGCGGCGACTTTGGCGGTATCGACTTCTCCAAGCTTGGCGGTGGCGGCATGCCCGACATGGGCGGTATGGGCGAGGACGACGAGGAGGACGAGGCGGAGGAATCCGACGACGAGCTGCCTGGCCTTGTCGAGGAGAAGCCGGCCGAGGCCGAGGCCAAGAAGACGGAGGCATAGAGGACACGACTTACTGACAGCGACGACACGACCGCTGCGGATGCCGTCATGTTTTCTCCCTCTGGCCTTGAGGCCCGGCATTGTACGAGAACACGACACGCCGCGAAAAAAGCATAATCGGAAGGGTAAAGTAGGGTTCTTGCTTGGCTAGAGCAAGGGGATCAACCTTGGGTTCCTGCAGGCGAAATGGATTATCTTTTGACTTGTCCATCTCACTCAAGTGCTGCTGCAACGTACACAGGAAGGATCTCGACTGAATCCGCGGAGAAGGGGGGAGCGTGAGAGACACGGAACAGGCAGCCCGATCGGTGTGCCAAACTACGCCACCGATGTGGAGGGGGGGAAAGGTTGGTCTCAAATCTCCAGGCAATTAATATCACGGCTTCTCCTCTCTTAGGTCCCTTCCCGTCCCGAGTTCCTGGGTCGTCCCTCGTCGTCCACACACGCGCGCCTCCTATGGCACCTGTCTCAGATCTCTCAAGTGAGCTAGCCTGGACCGGGCATTTCTGCCCTTGGCCTATTTTCTCTGTCCCACGGCACCAGAAACCGGAAGCTGATGACCTCTCCTCGCAAGCCCTGCGCCCCGCCGCCGTTACACGGGATTTCGAGTGCGTTATCTTTTTCCTGGTGTCTTGTTCCGGTGCCCATGTCTCGGTTTTCTTTTTTTCCTCCTCCCCCCTCCTTTCAGAGCCGCCGGTTGGAGGAGGGAAACGAGGAGGCGGCCGCTGCGGCCCGTCGTGATGGTGTGTTACACCGATCGTGATGAGGGGAAAGAGGGCAAGCCACACCGTCCTACGATCACGCAGATGGCCATCCTGCTCCTCGGTGCCCCCATCGAGGGCGACGGTACCCTCCCCTTCCCTACTAGCTAGGGGGCATTGCTCAGTATCGTGCGTGCGGCTGAAGCAAACTGGCGGCGGCCGTGGCGCTCCCCGTGCCGTGGACAACTGCTGGATCGAGGGTGTTGTGTGAGGGGGGTTGAGATCGATGAGGAGGCGTGGGGTGACTGAGACCGATCGGACGGGTCCAAGGTCGGGAGGCGGATAGGGGGGGGGGGGGGGGGGGGGGGGGGGGGAAATGCCCACCAAAAAAAAAAGGGGGCGGTGTGTGGGGGGTTGATTTTTGTGTGGAGGGCGGCTACGAACGCCCGGGC